AATTATGCCTGATGCTGAATTATATGTGCAGTGAGGTCGATTTTGCTTCAGGGTAGTGAAACAATCTGTTCCACGGATTTCACCCTATGTTCATTCGTTAGCCAACTGTTTGAGACCATCCTCTATCGGCAACGTGTTGAGGGAGCCCGCTAGGCTTATCATGTTTTTTTGGGGCGGATTAACATCTCTTCGGACATGCAGTATGTGCCCAATTAGTCATGTAATAAACGGGCCACATATGCGGCTATGGGAATTTTGCCATTTGTGTTTAGACCTGTGTGGTCTCCGTTTCCAACGGTCATATACTGGGTTTCTCGCTTTCGCACCGATAATCGATTTTATCTACTGGATTTTGCATATCGGTTCTAAGATGCTCAGCTGCAGCTCATAGTGCTGTTGACCTGTCTGGCTTTGCAGGAATCTACGCTATTTGCTTCTTGTATAAATTCAAACCTGTCCTGTATTGGATATAACTCACAGTTAGAGCCAATGACGCGTGTTAGGCCCCTCCTACCCGGATTATCTGTTCAGAGTGTGTCTGATGCCGAGCCATTTGAGTGTTGAAGCTGCACTGATAGTCACAACTTAGAAGAACTCTTCCAGACAGAAAAACAACTGGAAATTTGTCCACTTTTGTTCGGGTGTGCTCTGAGGTATATGAAACTAGGCCATCAATTTTAGACGGAGATAACGCGTCCATTCCAACCTAATTGTTAGGCATTAGGAACATCCCGGTTAAACCAAAAAGAAACAAACTAAACTCTGATTGGGCTCGCTGTGAATTAAGACATTGGCAATGTCACTGGTTGCCACATGGGTGCAGGAGCTCCGGGTATCAAGGCATCGAATCATTCGGATACGTTTACGGAAGTACCATACAATATTGCTTTTCTCATTTCCTGAGTCCACTGGACCTCCTTAACAATCCGCAAGTTCTCTCTCAATTCGCATCTTATGTTCTCCATCAGATCACGCTGTGCTTTCTGCAAGTATGGATACCTCTTCCGAATAGCATGTGATGCTTCAGCATCCTGGAAATGAAGTGACATATTCGGAGACGACCGATGATGTCGCAAACGGAGGCTACTGCGCCATGCATTGCAGTGTAATACCTAACCAACGAAGTTTCACGTTATCAGATTAATTAAACAACTGTGTACTGCATTCGTTGTCCTGGTTGGCTTACGTAAACGTAGACTCAGATATCTTCTCATCTGCTGATCTGCGCAATTCGTGGAAAATTGCGGCTTGTCTGGGCAGCATTATAGCTCTGGCGTATGATCTAAAACGAGTCGGAGTCAAGGATGATATCACTTCGCCCAAAGCTTATAGTGATGTGATAACTTTGAGTCTAGCATTTGATCATCCACCAATGGAAGCCTGGTAGGTTGGTAACGCTCACTGTACCTGATGACATTGATGCAGGAAGGCAGTCAATGATGAATGCGCGCTTACAACAATGTTTTGCTCCTGTGCCTTACTACCCTCAACCACTGTCTGCTCTGGTTGTTTCACTGTATGGCTCCATCAGCTGCAACGGTACTTGTGTCTAAGTTAACTTAAAGTTCATCCTCTTCTAAATTAGACAACCTGAAATTGTCAGCAAGAGAGGAACTAATCTGTTGAAGGGCTTGTTTGGCATTATCTGTTGGTTAAAATTCCCTAAGCCTAGGGTTTTCAACTAGAAGACTTATGAAAGGTGCTAATTCTTCCACGGCTTTCATGATGAGCCGATGGTGGAAGTTGATCATTCTCAAGAAGGTTTTAAGTGGTTTAAGTGGTGGAAGACACCGAAATTGGCTGGGTTACATGAGATGCCGTTTCAATCAATACTATGATCCAAAAACTCCAATAAAACCGCTCCAAAGTTACAATTTTTGGGCGTTGGTCGATAACCGATACATCTTCAGCCATGCAAACAAAAGTAGCCAATGTTGAGGGTCGATCTGGGCTATTACTAGCAACTTCTAACTCATCCAGCTACACAAATACAAAAGACAGACAAGAAAGAATCTGGCTACTGAAACGTTGGAATCTTTCTAAAGCATTATGTAAACCAAAATTCATACGTAAAATTTCAAAAAGCCAAATGTGTAACGATGACTTTCTTCTGAACATCCTCAGGGTTCATGAAAATCTGATGGTATATGCAACGTGTTTCGATAGGAGAATGCACGGTGAATCCTTGTAAGTTGGCAGAACAGTCATCTAAGTTGGGATTGGGTAAAGGTCTGGGGCTGTGATGTTATTAAATGCTTAATAGTCACCGCAATATCTCCAAGTCGATGAGCTTTTCTTCTGAGCCATATGTGGCGGTGATCTCCAAGTGATTTGTGAGGGTCGACTGATACCTGCTTGTAGTATATGTTGGAAGTCTTCCTTGGTGATGTACATTCTGTTGATGCAAACGGCATGGATAAACTTAAATGGAAGGCTGTTATTGGTGAGATGGTGACTAATGATGTTAATGGGACTAGTCTGGTGAAAACTGGGTCTTAGGTGTTCATGAATTTCACTAACCAAATCGCGATAACTTGTCTAGTGTTGCGAAAGCAAAGTTAGTGAGCAGATAGAAGGGAACATACGATTTGGCCTTGAGACTCGGTGTGGGTCGCCGATGTAACCACCGTCAGCTCTTTAGATCCACTAATGGATTGAAACGGGTAAAAACTTGGACCTTAAAACCGAGCGGCGTACTTCTGCAACAATGAAACTTCACTGAATTCGTAGTCGTAAACCAAGATCCATCGTTTTACTAGGTGTACCGTTGATTGTTGATAAACTAAATGGTGGTGTAGTTAGGTTGCCGCGAACACGAGTTGAAGGCATCGTGCTACTGTCCGTGCTCGTATGGGCTAGGAATCGTAATTCGGAGAACTTGTGAAAAATGATGACTGCTAGAAGTGACGCCCCCATCGCTTGGTCTGCTCGTTTCCCGTTAGTAATGAACTGAACTGAGTTTGTGGTACGAAATCCGTTGGGATTAACTGCATTCGCGAACGAATTATCTGAGCCGGTAGTGGTACCAACAGTGAGCTTTGTGAATCATGAATGATACGAAATGGTGAACATTACTTAGCTGCTGTAGTTAGAATATGCCATAAGATATGGTGGGATATATTTATGGCGTCGGTTTTATTTTTTAACTTGTCCAGTCATTCGCCGGTAGTTGTTGCAGGCGTTTGTGCGGCGATAGTGCGCGTTGTGTGCTCAGGGTTGAATTTCGAGTATCTTGTCAACGATGCTCGATGGAGCTTCCCAATTTGATACATTAAAGGACTGCAACAGTATGGCTAAGTGTTTAAGGAACGGTTACTCAAACGATGCATCGTCGTCAAACTGACGACTTCCCAACATATTGTGTTGCGAAGGAACAATTGAGATTTTGTACACAGCCATCTAGCATTTCGCTTCTGATTATTTGTTCCGAGCCTTCAACTTCTGACAATCTGGTCCGCTTCGAAATGGTAACTCGGTTTTTGCGGATTTAGGTTAAGTTGATCTGGCGAGTTACTAGGATGTCATGTGGATGTTGCATCTTTCTTCCTTGTGTTATATATCTCGAACTAATTCGGCTCGCACTTGGTTGGACCAGATGTACGTGTTATGATGCCAACATGTTGAAAACTTCATAGAAACAGTGGTAGTGTCAAGCGAAATTGGGAACATGCTGAAGGATGAAATGTCTTTTCGGACATTATAAGAAGATGTATTTGTTGTGTGTAGCAACGAGTAGACAAAGAAAAGTAAATACGTTAAATCACCGATTTGCTGGTGTTTACGTGATAATTTAGGTCTGGGACTAAAGCATATTCCCAAAGTTAATCAGAGAATGTTATTTTGGTATATTCATCACAGCAGTTCACATGCTACGTAATTCAACCACAATCCGGAAAATCACCAGACGCGTTTCCCCCTAATTAATGAAGTGCGGTCCCCTGCAGAGGGTCGAGACCATGTTCGCCAGAGGCATCTGCAAGCTAGCCAGCAGCTTAAGCCACTGAGCCATGAGGGACGTCGACTGGGCTACATAATTTGCAAGCTAACTTGGAAATAGCACGACCTATCTTGCACTGCCACGCAGTTTCCTACCAGTGCATTTGCCATTGGCTAGCCTCCCAGGTCATGGCTTCCTCTCACTAGATGCCATGTCTTTAGCATCTGAAACTAGGAGAGGCGACAATTTTTATTAATTATGAATCTGCTGAACAATGAATGACAAGCCTGCTGTATGCAGCCTGCATTCACGCCGCCTAGTGTCTGTCAGGGCACGCGAACAACACAGAGGCTACAGGATTAGAAGACTTCCGCCTTCTCAGTGCGTTGCTGTAAGTCCTGGCCTCTACGCTCAAAAGCGCCTCATGCTCTGACGTTGAAACGCACTGATCACATCCGCGGCGCCATGTACAACTGCGACTTTGATCTGAGGTTTCACCAGTAGTCCTGCCAACCACTGGATCTCTGCGTGATCCCTCCGGGTTCTCGAACCTCGTCAGGCAATCCCATTCGGCGTTGAGTACCACACCACTACGCAGACCACTAACGCTGGACTCAAACAGCTTATCCGTTAGGATCCTGGCCGACGCCCTTCGTTTTCCGACAGACAAACTACCCACGAACTGATAACGGATCCATCTCACTGTCGGTTAACGATATGTGCATGAGGCGATTTAATTTTGGGACGAATTTCTCCACCACTGCTATCTTCCGTTAATAACCTCGTCACTCAATCGCTTCTTTTTTATTTTGGTATTTTGAGTCTACTTATTAGTAGTTAGACGTGTCTACAATCATATATTTTCAGTCTACACTTTGGCGTTCTGTTACCCGCCTAGCTCAGCGAGCCAGTTTTCACCACACATGCCCAACCGTCCCATTGCTCTTAACTTACTTTCTTCGCTAACTTTTACTTATCGTATTGTTTTTGGACTATCGCATAACTCTTAGCAACTCCAACCTGATACCTTTAGCGTACAACATTTTCTCGCTACACGTTCCAGGGGTTTCATAACCGGTAGTGTGCATCGCTCACCGACCCAACTACCGTCGTTTACTTCGGCTCATGTGGACTCTGGTGCGAAGTCGTCGTCTTTTTCCTCTCACTCCTTTCCTGGGGGCGACTGGGAGCTTGTTGAAGGCCCTGGCGGATCTCGACGGTTTCCACGCGTTGTTCATCCATTTTTGGTGGACCTCACTGCAGAGGCTGCGTGGATCCAAGCATCTGAAGCACGTCGTGAAGCGGTCATACGTCGGTCCCGAAACAAACGAACCTCCGGCATACCGAACTCACCAGGTTTGATCATAATCATTGGTTATGGCGATCGGTTCTTGATGCAGGAACCGATGGAAAAACCCACATCTATTCTTGTGGCCAGTTGGCTAATTCACCATGGCGTTGCTCGTGTTTGTGTTCTCAAAGGTGGCGCATCAGCGTTGTTAGGTCTGACCGCAGGGAAGGAGCTCTTCGTCCACCCAGTACTTTGACGGTATTGTGTTTATAGTTTCACTTATGTGTAATTTTACTCAACTGTTCCTTGAATTCTATCAGCTGCATCAACATGTCCCATTGTTGCCTATTTGGTATCATGATACCGTCGTCTTTCTAGACCAGATTAGTTTGCTTGATACTTTTATCACGAGTTGAAATTTGCCCATCCGAAATAACGGTGATTTCAGCTTTTCGATTTTCCTTGTACATCTTTTCCATTGTACGAATAAAATACTCCGATTGATCCTTTTCTATATTCTTTCTGATTGAGTACACCTTGAAATGAGTGGTGTTCAATTTTCTGTCGCACGGCGCACGGGTGTTGCTGCCTTCTCAACAAAATTCTCTCGATGCATGGGGTGTGTACCTTTGTGGTATGACGTAAATGCTACCTTCTGATTACGTTCCATTGGTCTCTGACGGTGGGTGTGGACCTCATGTTTTGCATTATTACGCTCACATTTCTCGAGACAAGACTTGTTGGTGCCACTCGTCGTCTGAATCCACGTTCCTTGGTCTCAGACACCGGCATGGGTGCTTGCACAATTCTAATTCTAATTTTAGCGATAGCCTTGCAACTGAGTTCTAACTGCTTTACGGCGCTTCATCTTTAAGCTTTGCAATCCCCCATATCTGGCTCACTATGTGTGATTCATGCCTTGGAGCGCTTCATTGCCCATAAACGTTTCGCCACTGAATCTACAGCTTTATCCAGAAAGACATCATTTATGATCGCACCATCTCATCCACACCTACCGTGTTACCACATCATGCATTCACGTTCGCTCTGCTAATTGGTTTACAGTGTTTTCTTTCCCAATTGTGATAAATGTATTCTTGACTATGTTACATCAGTTGGTAACTTGCTTTTTAGCTACAATTGCCACCAGCTCTGTCAATTAGCCGCACCTCAATTTTTGTCAGAGGATGATCATCTTGAACTACCTGAATGTCGATCATTTGTTCTTAGCCTATTGGTTTCTGGTTCAGTTATTTCCATCCGGTTATGTTGGTAACGGCCTCCATACACTTCTCACATCATTCGCATATCGTTCAACTTGCTCCAGTCTCCTGTTGCGTACCCATTCCAACAACTGTTTATCTGGACTTGGTGAAAGCAGCTCTTGGTCTTGTTCACACTGCGTACAATTTCATGATTCTACGTGCCTGTGACCGTCTCCACTCCTGAATTACCCTACAATGCATGGTATGCGTGTCTTGCGCTCCCCTCCATGTTACTGGTATCCACGGACTCGTCTTATCGTGAACCTATTTATTATCAGTTGCCTGCAATAGACGCAGGTCGTTGGCTAAGCGGTAGCCCGTTCCAGAATGAAGCCACTCTTTGAGCCTGACACTTGCAAGATTGTGCCCGCCGTCTCATAAGTAACCAAAATGGCGGTATCAGACGGATTTGCACCGTGCGATCACTCGCATCGAATGCCGACAACACGTAAAGCATCACTCGTGGATAAAATTTAAATGCAGGTTATGAAAACACCCAACCGACCTATCAGGAATGGCATGAGCTGGCAGAAAGCATCCAATTGCAGATTTACCCCTCACTGCGACCTAGTTAGGACAGCCGAAGAAAACCTGTGCCTACTCAGGGAACATGTGTGGCTTGCGCTGCACCATCCACATGCCGCATATCCGGTACATACCCGAAGGAACGATACCGGGATGCGTTTGGATGGGATCGATGTTCCATCAAGCGAACCAGCCCACAGCAGCAGCCTTCCTGTCTGTCTTATTGGAGAATCACACGTACCAGACGTACAGAGTGCGGTGGCTGTGCCTTAGCCTGTTCCACACTGGATACATGGAGCCACTGTTTGAGCCTAGCACCGTCATGAGAACCGTGCACCCCGTATCTCCAGCAACGATTAACAGTCTACTGGAGCTATTATTATTGGGGGCGAAGGGTGTCAAAGAGGTTGACATTTTTTCAACCTTCACATCAAACACAGCCACATCGTGAGCTGCAGTCAAAACGACCTACACAGTCAGTTGTCTAATGAAGAACGACATTTCGTATTTTTAGTTAAGTGATTCGTAGTAGTGTGCGCAGTGTGAGTTCGTCTCAATTAAACTCTAGCAGAGCTAAGCTGTATAATACACCAGGGATCTTTTACTTCGGTTGAAGATGGTTTTATTCTGTACAACCTTTCTTCCAGTGGTTTCGATATTCACGCCGGAATTCCACATAAGCTGGACGGGTTATTTGAGGCTGTGGACTTGCTCCACCGTGCATTCCATACCCTTTGCCACTAGGGACGCGCGGCTGTGGGACCAATATTACCATGTGTGTCACTATAAAAGGTCCAGCTCCTTAGCTTTGCAATTCTTATTTGTTCCCTGGTTATGCGTTTCCACTGGTTGAATTTCTGCTTACAACTTCAGATCGTTCTGGAGTATCGGAGTATCTGCATAATCTGCGAACGAAAGACATGGATGTCGAATGCTGCTTGCTTTGTTCCAGCGAGCTTTTTTTCTAGTGGGACAAATTTCCTTTAAGCCGCTGCTAGTCTACTTCTCATGACAATTCCTTACGTCTCCGTATATGCACCAGGTGTTGCGAGTTGCTTGACTTGTCTCAGAGCAACTGGCGACATGGTTTACTCAGAAATGCATCATGGTAGAAATCGTCGGTCTCCAGACGGGCTTTGGTCACAAATGCGGGTTTTTGAACTTCGCTACGATTCTAAATAAGATAGTGCGAAGACTGGTATTGCATTATGGAACCATTTCGTGTTATCTGCTCACTCGTAAACTAACAACATAAATATGAATCACGTGCCAGAAAAATCGAAGGTTTGAAATTGGTCACAAAGGAAAATTACGTAGACGCAAGAATAACAGATCAACGAGCTTGATCTTAGGGTCATGAGCCCCAAGGAAGCTTTAGAGAGACTGTTAATTGTTTCTGTACACAAAGGATAGGGCGATGCCGGTTAAGTGCCACTGCTTCGGCAAACCTCAAAACTTTGGGGTTTTCATTTCGATAGATAACTGTAAATGTTGACTCAGGGTCAACCTGATGGCCTGTTTCGAGTAGACGTCTGGCGATAGACGATGCCGGTAGCTTAGATACCTTTTCTCGTTCGGCTGCTTGTTGTCTCGATAATTTAGCAATCCGTTTTGGGATATGCTCTCCAATGCGCTTACCCAAGTATCGATCTGTTCTGCCAATGTAACTACTTTCGCAGTTACAAACGAATTGGTAAATACAATGGGTTTTGGCGAAGATCGCTTGATTGCTTTTTGTTTAACGGTTTTTGGTCAACATTTTAATTCCTTGCTATGGTAGGTTTTGAATTGCCGTTCATGAATATCCTTATTACACATTATATATATATATATATATATATATATATATATATATATATATATATATATATATATATATATATATATATATATACGATATAGACCGTAAGCAAATAGCTTATGGCCCCAGTAGAATACAGGTCGGTAGGTACAAACGTTTGAGTACTTGGACATTTGCACAACAAATGCGAACATTGTTTGGAAAGTCGCATGTTTGACAGTGGGAAGCGGGACTTAGTTGATGTCACTTTTCAATACCAAAGGTTGCGCATTAATCGTTCTTTGAGTAGGTGCACATACCTCGGCCAGCGCATGGCCGAAACGTTCGGAGACACAGAGAGCCAGAAGTGGACACTGTATCGCATTCTCATGCTATGTGATCTCCCCCATCAGCTACTCAAACCAGACTGTACATGTAGAGGGCAACACCTAAGTGCACACTATTTCACTGTACCAGTATTCTAGTCATCATTCTACCTAGCAGTTGCTTTACTATTGCCACATCCGGTTCCTTCAAATATGGATGCCCAAGATTTAGGGCTGTCACGTCTAAATGTTGAAGAAAACATCAACAGTTCGTATTTGGTAGTTATTCTCATGTCTGTGAAATTGGTCGTTAGCCTGACCTCCAAACAAAACCCATATTCGTTGGTCATACCATTGATGATGGTGTCTAATGTGTCTCTATCCAGTTTGTGACAGCTCACACTTCAGTTTGGATAAACGCATGTACATATGTTGTATTCGAACTGTCACTGGACACAGATGACGCCAATCTATGTATGTATGTATACCGAATGAATTCGACGAGGATACTCATGCCGCTTTTGTACTGCTAAATTATTGCAGTAAAACGGCACTCGAGTAAACCGAAAATAACTACCAGAACATGAAGAAGGTGAGTTTATGACAAACTCATGTTGATTTCAGGTGTTGCAAATCCAAGGCAAACTTGATTGATGCGAATTCCTTGGACTGCTCAAAAGGGCGGTTTCTCAGGTGCCTGAGAAGGCACTATTGTATGCGGAATAGAAGCAACATGAGTACGTTCTCATACAATTTACTAATCCAGGCCAATACGGCGGCGTATGTGGTACTTTTGCCTGCGTGATGGGTAATCTTGCATTTCAGAAGTAGAAGTTGCTTGAGCTCCCAGGTGTGGATGCGCCTGATGTGAATGTTGACAAGGTGCCTACCAGTATATTATCCACTACCTCGTCCATACTGCCTCCAGGAGACAGTTGGTCGTCGCTGGAGAGGACGGAGTGCACCGCCCCCGTGACGGTTCTAGGCTCAAAGAGTGGTTCCAACCTTTGGAACAGGCTACGGTCCAGCCACCGCCTCGTGTACTTCTGGTGTGTATGATTTCCCAATTAGGCCGGAATGCTTCCGTTCTGCTTGTTGAAGGAGTGTGGGCCGGCTCCGTGGATGAAGCGTGGCTCCCATTCACATGCCTCCTGGTCTTATTCCTTGCGGTTTACACGGGATATGGGGTGTGTGGGTGAAAATATGGATGATGCAGCGCAAGCCACCCATGGTCCCTTTGTAGGCCCAGGCTTCTTGTGACTGTCCCTATCGACGTCACAGTGATAGGCAAATCCGGATACGGACGCCGCCAAATCACATAACCTCTAACAAAGCTAAATGCACTGATGTACCAATTTTCTAAATAGATCACATATCCGCTCATATTAGACTTTAAGTTATCGTTCTATCATTCATCTTGCGGTCATCGTTCGTGTTTTCTCATGCATTCGGACTACGTCCAGCAGATCATCATATTCACATTCGTGGTTTAGATGAGTCATTATCTTGGGTTGAATTCTCCTAAACAGAGTGCGATTTGATAGAATTTTATCTAATGCTCCCTCTTTTTGTAATTGGACGTCCTATTTTTGTTGTGCTTGTAGTGCAC